TGTCCTGGCTGACAATTCCCCCCAAGTAAAACGAGTCGTTGACTCCCTCGACCGTGTTACGCGAACCCCTCTGGGCGCAAGTTGGCTGCCGCCTCCGCCCACAAACGCAACCCGCGCTCCGCGACCGCGCTTGACGGTAGACCCCGCGAGGCCCGTCCTGGGGATTAACTCACAGCGACGGCCGCCGCAAAACTAATGGTTAAAAAAAATAATAATAAATTGATCGCTCAATCCACGAGGAATTGGCTGTTGTGGGACTCGCGTAAGGAACAGCTCAGTGATGGGGGGGGGTTTCAGGAGGTTTGAGGTCGTGAGGGTCCTCTTCATCTCCTGGTCTTGTGTCTCCTCCTCCTCCTCCCTCTCCCCCCCTTCTCCCCCGCCCCCACCCCCAGGAAAACCCAACGCGAAGCAAAGCGTTTTGTAAAGCCATCAGTTAGAAGCACAGCGACAGGAGGAGGCCATTCAGCCCCCTCGAGCCTGTTCCGCCACAGGTTGGGTGTCGGAGGGAGACACCCGGCTCGGGATTACCTGCCTGACTCGGGGAAGCATTTAATTAACGCGTTCAACTTGGGGCAGGAGAGAATCTCGCGGGCGGTGGGTTAGAGCTGAGCAAAGACCCCGTGTATCCCAGTCACTCGAGAGGCAAAACGACTGCAGAGAAAGATACTGTTCATTTCTCCGCACCTGAATCGCTCCACTCCCTCCTCCCTCCTCCCTCCCCCCCCCTCAATCACTCCCCGTCCCTGTTCCAGTGGCTGGGGCCGAGCAACTCCAAATTTCCAATTACATTTTCAATTAAAAGCCGGGATGTCACCGGAGACAGTTCCCTCCGGGGTTTTTTTTTTTAACCCCCCAAAAAAACATCTATTTTCCACGCAGTTAAACAGCCGATCAGTCTTTGCCTCTCGAACGATCTGTGTTTCTTAATTCGGAAAATCGACTCATCACAATCATAGAATCATCGAATCTGGCAGCGCGGAAGGAGGCCATTCGGCCCATCGGAGACCTGTGCTGACCTGTGCCCCCACCACCCCGCGCGTGTGTGTGTGTGTGTGTGTCTTTGACGCCCAAATCAAACTCAAGGCCCCCGGGGGGGGGGGGTGGGTGGGGGGGGCGTGGGGGGGTGAAACAGAACGTGTTACGGTACCGATTCTAATTACGTGCCCAGCTCGAGCTTTCCTGTCAAGTCAAGTGTGCCCTGTAGGTATTGTGAGGGTTATCTCTGGATACTAACAAGAATGTTGTGCGGAGACTTTAATGAGGTGAGACAGTGGCCTTGTGGCTCTCTCTTCCTCGGGGCCCCTCTTAAAATGCGAAATCACTTGACATTGCTGCTTGCAAAACCGCGTCCCGAACGTGCTGCGCTCTCGCGGCCCAACTTTCCGCCGCCCGACTTACTAGGACCTCTAATGACTGTGTGCTATCGCGGGCGCAACGCGGCGGCCGGTCGCGACGTCCCCACAAACAGCCGTGGGATTGGAGTGACCGAGTTATTATTGATTTGGAAGGGATTATTACCCCCGGAAAAGCTGAGCGACTAACGGCCAGGTCGCGGCTGATAATACTGCCGGGTATTTTCAGAATATCCAGAGGAGAGAAGCGCAGTAAACACAGGCGGGCGGTTGAGTGTTTTTTTTTTTCGCTCCCGATTGCTTTACCCCAAATCGCCCCATCTGCTGTGCCATGTGTTACTCAACAGCCACCGGGGATGGAAGAAGCCAAGATGTTCTCGCTGCAGAAAAACACAGTCGGAGACTTGGCATAGAAAGAATTAACGGGAGTGTGGGGGGGGAGGGGGGAGAGAGAGAGAGAGAGAGGTGTTCCCCCAGGGATTGGGATTGGGGCGGGCGGTGGGGTGGGGGGTGGACCCACGACTTTCAATGTCCCCTCCACCATCAGTGGCTGTGCTTTCAGTCACTGCGCCCCCAAACTCTGTCACTCTCTTCCTTTGATCCCTCCACCTTGCCCCCTCCCTCCCTCCCCTCTCTCTCTCTCTCTCTCTTTCCTCTCTCCCCCGTACCCTCTCTCTCTCTCTCTCTCTCTTTCCTCTCTCCCCCGTACCCTCTCTCTCTCTCTCTCTCTCTCTCTTTCCTCTCTCCCCCGTACCCTCTCTCCTCTCTCTCTCTCTCTCTTTCCTCTCTCCCCCGTACCCTCTCTCTCTCTCTCTCTCTCTCCGATGAATCGACACAGCTGCCCTGATTTACTGTCGGGTCCTCATCACACACGACCGACCGATTGACTGATTTTAGTTGGGGGAGTTGTCCCCCGGCTCTGTCCCCCGCCTCGCTCCCCCCCCCCCCCCGCCTGAAGACCTGCTTCAGAGTTTTCTCGGGGGTTAGACCCCTCGCCTCTGTTTTTCAGTAGCAACCCGGTTGTTAGTCGATTGGCGGATCGCTTTCCGGGAGGGTGGGGGGCGGAGGGGGTAATAATCCCTGCGCTGTTTGCGGGGACGTCGCTCTGCGCAGTCGGCTATCCCGCGAAGCGCCTCGAGACGCCTCGAAGGCGTCGATAAGGCGCTGTGTATCGAGCGCGAGGATTATTGGCGTGGGCTGAGCGACCAAATTATTAGTAGAGCTAATAATAGACGAGAGTGATTTACTGATCGAGGAGCGGAGTGGTGGGGCGCGGGGGGGGGGACGCGGGGGGGGGGGGGGGGAACGAAAGCGTTGAGTGTAAACACTGGCGCGGACTGGTTGGGTCGAGTCAGTCTGTTTCCGTCCCTTTGCCATCGTTGGTCGATGCTGCGTCCAGCGCGAGGCTTATTGTTTGAGAGCGGTTTCCCGTGAGGAGCTTTGAGAGGCTTCGATAATGATAATATTAATAATAATAATTATTATATAATAATAATAAGGATTATAATAATAATCCTGGCGTTGGCCCGGAGCCTGATCACGTCGTCGAGACGTCTCGAAGCTCTTCACGGGATACACTGTGTAGTGAATTGCTGTAAAAAGCTGATTTCATTGCAATTCACAGCCACCCCCTACCCACCCCCCCCCCGTTTCTCTCTCTCTCTCTCTCTCTCCCTCTCTCACTCTCTCTCCCCCCCACCCCCACCCCACTCTCCCTCCCCGCCCCCACCCTATTAAAGCCACCGGGCGCTCAGTGGCTTCAAACCTGAGCTGCTGAGTGTTCTCAATCCCCTCTCAATCTCAATCCTTTGTCCACTTGATCTGTTCGCTGCAAATACGGTGACGTTTATTTCAAAGCCCTGTGTGTCGGGTTGGGGCGTGAGCAGAATTCTAAAGGCCACAGTCAAACGGTCAGCCATGTCGGTCTGACTTATTCATTGAATTCTCTCGGCTTCGTCTGGGCTGTGGGGAGTTGGGGTCGGGTGGGAGAGTTTGGTTGTGAGTGGTGGAGAATGGGGCACATTGGCTCCTCTGATCTCCTCCCTCCAGAACCCCCACCCTGTGATAATGATAATAATAATAATAACATAATAATAATAATGATGATGACAATGATGATGGCGTTTGACACAGAGCCCGATCACGTCGTCGAGACGTCTCAAAGCGCTTCACTGTGAAGTGTAGTGACTGCGTATTTTGTGGGCGAAACACGGCAGCCGATTGCGCCCGGCGACGTCCGCACAAACAGCCGTGGATTGAGTGACTGATTTTTTTGGGAGGGATTATTACCCCCAGGAAAGCGATCTGCCAATTGGACTTAACAACCGGGTTCCTACGTACTGTTGGATAAACAGAGGCGTGTGCGTGTGCGTGTGCGTGTGCGTGCGCGTGCGCGTGGAGTAAGGAAACCCGCCTAAGGTTTCGCCCTGTCCTGACCCGCCCGGGAATCGAACCCCGGGTCCTCTCGCTTGCGAGGCGAGAGGGCTCTAACCCCTGAGCCACGGGGGGCTCCTTTGAATAGTCTTTCAGTTCATCTCAAGGGAGGGTGCGGGGGTTTGGGAGGTGAGGGGTTTAAGAAATACTCTTATTTCAAAGAAACATTCGCAAAAAACCTCGAACCTCCAAACCCCCATCTCCCCCCACCACCCCCACCCCCAAACACCCACATATTAATATTTTATGCGCAGAGAGATTATGTCTGTCGCACTTCGCTTACGTTACAAAGAGGGTAAGACAGAGAGAGAGGGAGACAGAGAGAGGGGGGAGAGAGAGAGGGAGAGAGAGAGAGAGAGGGGGAGAGAGAGGGGGAGAGAGAGAGGAGAGAGAGAGAGGGGGGAGAGAGAGAGAGGGAGAGAGAGAGAGATGAGCATTACAATGGAATGTGCAATATATCCCAAATGGACTTCATGCCATTATGCAGTGGGTGAAAGAAAAGAATTAATGAGTTGGTATTTAGATATTACTTCTCGGCTTCTACTGAACCCACACGAAAGATTCTGCACTGAAATACCGATCCATCAGTCACGTTGCCCCCCAACCCTCTAAAGCTATCTCTCTCTCTCTCTCTCTCTCTCTCTCTCTCTCTTTCTCTCTTCCACTCGCGCTCTCTTTCTCTCTCTGTCTTGGTTTGGCTCAGTTGATAGCACTCTCGTCTCTGAGTCAGGAGGTTGACCTCTCTCTCTCTCTTTCTCTCTCTCTCACATTCATTCTGTCTCTCCCTTCTCTCTCTCTCTCTCTCTCTCTCTCTGTCTTACCCTTTTGCTCACTCTGGCTCTCGCGCTCTCCCACTTTCTGTTACATTACGTCTCTCTTTGCTCCGTCTCTCCCACTCACGGTCCCTCTCTCCATCTCTCTCTCTCTCTCTCTCTCTCTCTCTCTCACCTTGCCTCCTTTTTTCTCTCTCTGTTACTCTCCCTCCCCCCCTCTCCCTCCCTCCCTCCCTCCCTCACTCACTCCCTCTCCCTCCATCTCCATCTCTCTCTCTCTCGTTCTATCCCTCTGGACTTTTCCCGCACGTTACCAGCTGCCTTTCCTGGATGGCAGTCGGTGCTGGTGAGGTGAAGGGTTGGTGGGGATGGGGAGATTGTGGTGTGTGTGTGTGTGTGAGGCTGTGGGCGAGGGGTTCAGTTGGTGTCTCTGTGTCTGCAGGTGTTCACCAGGTACGGAAAATGCTACACCTTCAACTCGGGGCAAATCAAGGACCAGCCCATCCTGACCACGCTCAAGGGGGGAACAGGCAATGGGCTGGAGCTGATGTTGGACATTCAGCAGGATGAGTATCTCCCTGTCTGGGGAGAGACAGGTAATGAGAATAATATTAATAATCCTTGCGTTAGATATAGCGCCTTATCACGTCTTCGAGACGTCTCAACGGGGAATGGGACCAAGCAATGCTTTACTTATTGTCAGGCTGACACACGTGGAAACTCCCTTCATGCCCCCCACCCTCCCACACCTCTCCCTTTCCCCCCCTTCTCTCCTCTCTCTCCCCACCTCCCCCCCCCCACCCTCCCCCACCAGCCA